GGCAGGATTGCAGCACGGGGGGGCCCGCACGCCCGGGGCAGCGACTCCTGTGGGAGCCGGTCTGTGGAGGACTCTGCTGGGAGAGGGGAACCGCGCTGGGACAGGGGAGCAGCGCCAGAGGTTCACCGGCCCCGAGGTGGCAGAAGCGGCAGCGCTGACCGCACCGCCATTCCCTGCCCCTGAGCTGCTGGGAGAGGAGGGAGGGATATCAGGGGCAAAGCTGAGCCTGGGAGAGGGAAGGGTGGGGGAAGGTGTTTTCAAATCATGGTAATGCTTCTCACTGCCCTACTATTGTCTGTTAAGTGTTGTTGTTAGTTCTGTGTTATGTTCTTTTTTTCTTCCCCTAATGAGTCTGTTTTTTGCTTGTGCCTTAAAGGACAAGGTCATCCCTCCGTGTCCTTATCTCAAGTTTCTGGGTCTTTTGCTTTCCTCCTCCTCAGTGCTGGGGGGTAATGGGGAAGTGAGTGACTGCGTGGTGCTCAGTTGCCCTCTGAGCTCAAACCACAACATTGTCCCAATCACCTCTTCATCTCAGGTTGTGCCTACTTGAATTCCTTCTCTAACTTTAAAAGAGCTTCCGCTTTCAGTAAGTGCCCTCCTTGCCCTACTTGAAAAATGTTCCTTGTACGTCACCCCACCTACCTTTGCACTGTTGCTTCTCCACTGATCTCTGCCACTTACCCCTGGAGAATTCATATGCAAAGCAGAAGTGAGTGCATCAGATGTGTTAAATGAATGCCAGTCAGAAAAATGAAGGCTCTCACATAAGAACCAGACACACTGCATGGCTATCCTGTGCATCCTATTTATCTGAATAGTTCGTATAGTGTGGTAAAGCAGTGAATAAAGGGGTGTTTGGGAAAAAACCTACTGCAGTGTTTCAGATAGGTAACACGTAACATGAAGCTGCTCCACACAGCTCCAGCACACGATTTTTATTAAACATCATGTTAAAGCCTTTTTTTTTTTTTTTTTCCTCCACACTACCTACTGGATATACCAGGCTCCCAACCACTCTGAATCTGTGTTATTTAAAGCTTTCAGCTGAACCCATCACATTCTCCCAAGTGGCAGCATGTACCCCTCTCTCTAGAACAAATTTCACATAGCCAATCCACCCGATGATGGAGAAGAGACTTAACTCAATGTTGTACATTTAATACTCTTCAAGTAACCTAAAGATTCTGTTTGTTGATTCACTCACAGCTGAAACAATAATTGTAACCACCATCAGATTCCCAGATGATGAGAGTCATTGCTCCAAGCAATAGGACAGGAATTAGAAGTGTATATAGAATAAAGTTGAGTAAACCAACAATTTTTCTGTGCCTAATAATTTCTCTATAAAACGCCATTGTTAAAGAACACCGAGATCTACTAAACATTATGGTATCTTTTAAAATAAGGTTTAGAAAAAGAGGGGATCGTGATTATCCCCAAGTGACTAAACAGACACCAATTACCCAGGGAAGAGGAGAGAGGAGAAACCATCAGATAATTCACAACATAACAGGATCTAAGCCGGCTTACATGCCTCCAATGCAGACTTGGATATATCCTCTTCTAGTGCATGAGGGAGTAATTTAAGTATTTTTGCATTTTAAAATTGCATAGAATTTATGCATAAGCAACAGCATAAAAAGAACAGATTTTATTTTCAGATGAAAGAATGAGGCAGAGAATATTAGCATCTCCCTAATAATTAAATAACCCAGACAGATAGCATTTCATCTTTAAAATTCAGAACAGACATCAGCTCATTAATCTTAACAATTCCTCTGTGAGGAATGAAAGAAAACATTTTTCAACTGACAGAAGCAATGAGGTTACAAGATTTAAGCCAAGTTCCTCCAAGAAACTAAATAAATTTAATAAGAACATGGTAAAATAAGAACATGAGTGTCCTCAAAAACAGCTTGGTCTTGAGGGCAGAGTGTCTTAGGATATAATGAAAACTAGATTCCTACAAGGCATCTCACAGGTGTGGAGAAACAGGGACTCCACCAAAAATCAAAAGATTAGTGTTTCAGAGGGTCTGGGGGAAAGAAGGTGAGAAAGGTGTTGAAGGTTCATCAACATAGGAACCCTCCTATCCCCCATATTGTTTGGTCATTGCCCTGTCAGATTCTGACACCTACCAGTAATAGATCACTCACTCACTGCAAGTAAATGACTCAAATCTAAGAAGCAATAAAACCATTTGTCTAACAAAAAAAATGTCATTGAATGTGAAATCACTAGTGCTCTTTATTAGCTTCAAAGTAGTCTTCAAAGCCCAGTTATTTATGTGTGGGCAGACACCTTTCCTTCCCTATTAATTTTTAAAGGAGCTACAGAGCACAAAGATGTTCTTGATCTATTTCCTTAAGCAATTACAGTAGTATGTTGATTTCATGCAAAATTTTATCAATTTAACTATTTAGAGATGTTGGCAATATACTTTTAGTGTTCTCTTCCCACTTCTGACAGGCTGCCCCTTTTCATCACACATCATGGGATCTACAAGTTCATTCTCACATCCTGTAGTTATGGAGCTTAGCAGTTTATCCTTACATGAAAAATCCAGTTAAAACACTGAAGCCTCAAATGATTTTTAGTACTACTCTTCTGTATTAGTATTCATTAGGGAGGAAAGTGTGCTAATAGGATAAAACATACTGAGAAATACTTACTCTAGTCCACGCAGTTGTTTCCAAACCAGCTTTCAGACAAACTGTGACTACAACATACTGCAAAAAAAAAAGAAAAAAGACAACTTCAGTAGTAACACACTCAAATTCAGAGGTGTTCAGGGCCCAATATCCCCTTTACACCTAAAATGTTACTACCATTTAGGTACCAGCCCAGGACCTTGGCAGTGTGGGATGGGGGAAGGGCAGAGCAGAAAATATTGTTGGTGCATTTCTGAAAAAAAAAAAAGATATGAAAGAAGAAGGGGGAAAAATCATGCATACAACAAATTTATTTTAGTTGTACACTTTCTTCTGGTTTACACCATTTTTAGAGGGTACAAAAAAGCTGTAAAGAAATTCTACCATTCAAAAATTGCTACAGTACACGAACTTACAGTGTAAACTATGTTTCCAACAAATAAATAGTCAATTCCCTGGCCATTTGTGAATACTGCATCTGAAAGAAAAAATGAAAAATTATCACATTTGTTGTCAATTTATCAAGAGAATGGGTGACATAAAGAGATTTTCAGGAGAAAATAACTGGTTCCAACCTTGCCTTTTAGAACATTTAAAAGCACTTTTAGAAGCTGTGAGGTAATAGTAAAGCAGAAGTTGTGCTAAGCCAGGCCTTGGACACAGTGCTCAGAGTGTATATCCACAGTCCTGGTTGCCAGAAGCCATCACAGCAAAATGGGAAGTGTTTGCCAGACCCTAATGTATATTTGCCTATAAGAGCTGAGGTATGTTAGTGTCACTTTTTCTATCGTTATCTGTTCTGTACTATTTATTGACACCTCTAGCAAATCCCATTATTTGCTGTGCCTGTGAAGAAAAAGCCTGTAAAACACCAGCTAATTTGTGGTGAAAGAGAGCCGACTTAAGAAAAACCACAAGAGTTTCATTTATAAAGGACACATGTAACATCTAAAATATCTTACTGAAGGTTAATTCAGTAACTGAGCAGCATTCAGTCTACACACGCCCTTTCACTAGTCAAGTGTGCACAAGGGTAAATACATGATAATCTATCATTTCAAAGTGCCAACCTTGGCAATACTTCAAATGTCTGTTTAGTCTTTCTTAGCTCTTGCTGAATAAAACTGGAACACCATGAAAGGACATTCGACAGCAACACTAATGCCAAATGAACTTGTACTTGTGGGACCTTTCGAGCATTACTAAAGCACAAGAAATATTGTTATTTTCACAGGTTTTAAGACAACTGATAGAGAAATACACAAACAGCAGGGATGAAAAAGGCTTAAGATAAAACCTTGGACCTGTTCCTAAATACATACTGCCTTGTAGAGCGCTTCTACTTACGAGAGTACTGTTTTGCTAGTGCTATTTGTAAAACTGGATCTGACATTCTTAAATTAGGGTCATCTACTTAGTTAACCATGTTCCAATAACATAGATCTCCAGGATGAGTAAGTTTTTAAGTCTATAGAGAAGAGTCCCTGACACCCTGACCTCTGTGGTGAATACTCTGCATAGCTTACAGGTAAAAAGACTAATATTTAGTCAGTGAAGTTACCCCAAATTACTTGGTATGGTTTTCTTCTTTAACAGCTACACAGCTGTGGTTGTCTCCAGAGAACTGACAGGTGGTGAATATTTTCCGTAAGTTGCTAGTTCTGTATTCCTGCATTCTTTTCTGTTTTGAACCCCAACTACTAAGAAACAGCAGCAGAATAGTCACTAACATTGCAACAGAAGCTAAAGCCCAAGACAGCTTGGTTAGGAATTGGTTTGGTTCCTAGCCACTAGCATCTCCATCAGCTCAACTCTTCCTCTAGTACACTGTAGTTTCAGGCATTTACCACATCATTCAAAAATACACATCAAGTTTTAACAGTCACTTTGCTCTAGTGTGAATAAAAAAGGTGAAGAACACTAGAGAATTGAGCCTTCCATGTCCAATGAACCCTGCTGATGCCAGAAGTCTCAGTTCATTAAGAAAAACAGATGTCAAATACATATCAGTTTTGCTAGATCTAGAATAAACTGACACAATGACTCTGCCAGTATACTGCTCTAGCACATCACAGTGCACATTTGAATAATAGACTGATTTTTGGTGTAAGTCTCAGTTTTTTTTAAAGTTACATTTTAATGCAGTAAGTTAATGCCTTCTTTTCAGTGATTTCCATGACCTTCCACTTTAGGAGGCTAAGCGGTCCTGAAAGGAATGGTATTTCTGTTAATGAGAACAGCAGGACACTCAGTGAACATTAGTTTCTAAAGCTATACAAGTGCCCATTCATGGACTGTATGTACTTCACATTCTAAGGAACTCAAGAGGTTAAAAAACATCCCAGTGTGAATGGCACATTTCTGTCTCTGCCACCAAAATCCCTTTTTCACTTGGAAATACAAAGGAACTGGAAAATTCAATATCTACTCTCTTTGGAAAGCACACTAAGCAACCCATTGAAAGAAACTCCAAAAGTTACCATTTGAGCAGGTGAGCATTCAAGTCTTTTATAATTGCTGACATTAAAAATACATTATCTATTTAGGAATTAGTTAGAAAAACATTTATAGGAGACTAAACCAAAACCTGTATTTTTCTTTAACTGCAACCACCATCAGCCTAAAATTTCTGTAGTTGGATTTAAAGAAGAGCTATTCAAGATTAATATGTGTCAGAAATAGTGCAAGAGAACAACAAAACCCATCAAATCAAAACAAGAAGCGATCAACCATAAAAACCCCTCTCCTTCAGAGCTGAAACGAGCTCCTATCCCACATATGGAAGAAAGGGAAGTCACTTTTTTTATGGTCCACCAGACAGCACATGAAGCTGCCATTGAGGATACAGTACTGACATCTTACTCAGCTAGGTAGGGAAACATGAACCTGCCTCCCATAAGTATCTTTACCATCATGCCTCTGATGGAAGCATTTATCTTTCCTCCCTTGCCACTTTCTTTCACCCCCTCCACAATTAATCCATCCTGGAGCTGAGGAGGTTTTCTTGAAATTAGTGTTTTCCAGAAAAAACTAAATTTTTGAAAAATTTATGATTTTAGCTAAGCATTATTCCCACCCTGCTAACCCCAAAATTTTTCATCTGATCTAGTCCTATTTCTTATAACAGAAAAAGAACAGACTTGCAATGTTTTTTCCTGTCCACACAACTATATTGTAAAGCCAGGTAAGAACCATATGGCATTTACTGTTCCCTGAAACACCATGTGGCTGCATTACCTTTCATGGAAAGCGAAACTTCATTAAGTCTAATTTGTACCAAAAAAAGTGTAATTTCTGCAGCATCTCTGACTTTGATCTAGTCTACTTCCATTCTGGCAAATTAATTTTTTCCACAGACTTCAACAGTAGTGAAATCTGTCTATTTTATCCTACTTTTTACAATACTGTGTTATGGAATGGGAAAGGTCCAACAAGATATAAAGCAAGTGGTTGTAATGCAGCTGCCGTGTAAAAACTTGAGATCTCAACCCACTACCAAAAAAAATAAGGTATTTTATAGAACATTATTCAGTATCCGAGTAAGACTTTTTGGCAAAGAAGCATTTTAATTTTTCATGTATTAAAGTCACTATATGAACAGTAATTATATTAAATTAGAGTAAGTTCTGAAAGCCACTAGATAACTACCCAAGTTTAGCAGCTATAGCCTACTGAACTGTCTGTCAGCATTATTTTCTTGGGACTTGTCACGACCTCCCATTCTGCAAACACACTGGCTCTGTAAGACTGAACATCAGTTACTGACGTAAGAAATAATGAAGCCCTTACCATGCTCCAGCACTTTCAGTGGAAACCAGAAGAGAATGATGGAATGGATGAGGGCATTGATGCAGTGACCCCAGAAAACCTGAGGGAAAACAAACCAAGTCATCAGTAAAGTCCAAAACTCTTGACCTCTCTCTAACTGCTAACAAACACTTCATTGTGTAATTTAGAGTCAGACAATGTTTGTCCTGAAGTGAAATACCTCAACTTCTGCAGGATCTATTTCCTCCTACAATTTCTGCTCTTTCACAAGAAAACACTGGTCCAGTTGGATCATTTTATTCTAACAACTTAAAACAGGCTAGCATGCTTGCATTTTAAGATCTTTATCACCATGCAGCAGATGGAGTCACTGCTTTTTAATAACCTCAAAGAACGATCTTTAAAAGTTCAGTTCAGTACTATGAAATGTTCTTTTAAACAGGCAAATACTTTGTGCCCCACGATTTTTACCTTAGAGATAATGCTGTTTTGCACAAACTAGAGCTTTACGTACTCTACAACTTAATTTCTAAAGAAGAAAAAAAAAATCGTCCAGCTTCCTTGATTCAAAAGTACTTTTAGATGTGCCTGTTATGCAATAACGACAGAATTCCAAATTATGGCATTTTCCAGCATTTAAATAGAAAAATGAAGTAAAATGTGTTCTTCAAATCTCAAAGTCCAAATAAACCGATTCAAATTTTATTTTCCAAAAGGACTATGAGAATAGAGCTATACTATTTGTGAAAAAGGGCCCTAGTAGACAGCATTATGACAAGTTGCATATTAAATAAAATCCAGGTGATGTTATCCAGTTCTTATGAAAGTGGTAAACTCACCACTTATCTGTAGTTGTGAATTGAAAAATCATACTTTGATTCAAAGTAGGATTTCTATCCAAGTTTGTGGATATTTCAGGACCAGTTTCAGCTGAAGCCATAGCAGAAAATCCTTATTTAAAAAGAAGGGCTGCTTTATAAAAATATAGTCCCTTAAAAAGAACTGTGAGGCAAAACAATCTTGATCTCAGTGGCTAGCATAAAGCAGAAGTGACAGTGGGAAATAAGTTACTTTAAAATAAGAAGGACCTGAAAAATAAGAATGCTTATGGTTAAAGAAACAGGTTTTCCCTTACCCTTGTGTTGAACCCATCTGCATTTTGTGTAATTTTGTATAACTGTGGAAATCTAAGCATGCTATCTTGAGTACATGATCGTTCAAAAATTCCCAGAGTAAAGGGTGGCAGTGCTGTGAAAATCTGCAAGGAAAGCAAATACTAATTAAAAGCAGCTATTAGTTTAGATCTCAGATAATATTTCAATATCTAGACAATAGCAAAATTCCCACAGACTTCAGTGAAGACTTATTACCAACCATTATTTGACATAATATTCAAATGTCCAAACAAGTCCAAACATGAATTTCAGCAATTCATAACTCTCACTGACTTCTGAATAAAAGAAACATGCAAGAAAATTTGTACTATTAACCAGTTAGCTTAAACCAAGAAGTTAAACAACATTAGTTTCTGATGTACCAGCTAGTCTAGCAAGCATAAAACACATCAGACTGCAAAGGAAAGACAACATGTACTTTCTGAAAATAGCCTTGTGGGAATGGGTTCAAACATAGCTGCAGTTGTGGCCGCAATTAAATATGTATGTAATATGCTTAACCAAATCTAAGTTTACAGACAAAGCAAATGTGGAAATCACATTCAAAAAAAAATTCTACTGAAAAACAAAGGCTATTCTGTATTATAGTACTTTGGGGATCCTCCAGGCAGCCATGAACTGATAGGAACAAATTAACTGCAGCATGCGTCTGTGCTATGGGCAGATGCTTAGATGACCAAGCCTCAGAAGCTTTCCAGGAGAAGCAGCAGGACACTTTGCCAGAAGCAGAGTAAATTGGCCTCTGCTGAGTCCCACATTGCTGCTCTTAAAGTGTTTCCAGGATCTGAGGCAGCTCATTTAAAGCCAGCTTAGTTACCCATGTTTCTTGTAGTCTGCAGTGAAGGCACCTAGTGAAAATAATCCCAGTGTGCATATCTGAACACTAAACTTCATTTACTTCCTTTTACATTAACAGTTTATATCAGAAAAGTAATTTTTAAATTTTTAACAGTTTGAGAAGTGTTCCTGAAGTTAAAAAAGAGCATGAAATGATGAACTGTTTCTAGAATTTATGCATGTTTGCAAAAGTTGGGCTGTGGTGCCCACCAGAAGTGAGCTGGCAGTCAGGGAGTAGACAAAAAGCATCACAGAAAACTAGAGACTAGTGAGAAACAGTAATTACATCTCTAGATCCAACTGGGGATGTGCTGCTTTTGCTCATAAGTGATAAACCTGATAGTTAAAGTGGCAGCAAGCTTGGGGTAAGGAACTGAGATTAAGACGACTGGTCCAATGTATTCCAAAAAAGGGCATGTTCTCATAGAGCTTTAAGGTATTTCCCCAGGTCCCATGTTCATTGGGGGCATTTACATTCTCACTTGAAGTAAGTCTTCTAATGTTTTTGTTTGTGAAGGTAAACCTCCAACATGAACCAGTGCAAAAGCAGGAATTAGAATGCTACTATGATTTCCTACACTTAATATTTTAATGAGACTACTAATGAAATAAAGGGTTAATCTGCACAGAGGAGAAGGTGCATTTTAAAATCTAACCCCTTCGAAGTGTGGAAGCACTTGATTCTTTGTGAGTCCATGTGTTCAGTTCTAATTTTTGAAATTACAGACCTTACAAAACAGGAGTTAATTTCTACTTCACTCATTCTAAAAGATAAATTTCATCCATAAGTTCTATATAGCATAGGAAGATCCATCAAATCAGGTTTAAAGATAATAGATGCAAATATCTAAAGACCAATGACAAACTGAGTAACAGTCAGGAAATTAGGGCAAAGAGAATCAAGGGAGTGGAGGATCCCTGAATAACTATATTCCACAAAGAATATGAAATCTTATGGAATATAAGCATTTGTGCCATCATTTTTAAGATTAGTGTGACAGAAGTTAATAAGTGTTTCCATTAATACTATGCAGTGATAGACATAACTTGCTGACTTTCTCTGTATTACCATATATTTGGAATGAGTCTTCTTAAAGCAAAAAATTAAATTTCCTCCGTCGAAAGAGAAATGCAAAGGATCTTTCAACACTGACAAAGTGTCCCAATGGCTTACAAATCCAGACACCAGGCCTGTAACACCAGACACCATCTGTAACATTACAAAGTGTTACCACTGCTGAAAACACAAGCACAGGTCTATGAAACTTGTTCCTAGAGATCCTTCAGACTTTAATCAGTATTAAGTATTTTTGACTGAAGTGGTAAAGTCATGTGTCACAGTGCGGCACTGTGCAGATCACAGTGAAAATCAGAAATCACTTCTAGACTGACACATCCTGCTCTTGGCTGAAGTGAAAAATGCTGGTGACACAGCAATGCTACTTCCTGTGCTGTACTTAATGTAGCATGAGTCAAGCCAAATCATCTGGGCATCTAACTGTTACAGAGTGTGAGAAAAATGAAATCAACACTGTTAAGATTCTCTATCTATTTTGAACATGAACAGCCAGCAAAATATTCAGTACAAATGACTGAAGATGATTTCAAAAAGGAAATTAAATTCCATCTAAAAGCTGCAGAGTTTTATGGAGCTTATATTATGCCAAACATGTATTTTTAATGAATTTTCCCAAATTTATTTTTGCAATAAAACCACCATCCAAAATGAATTTTATCCACCTTGAGTGGATTCAAAAGGGCTTTTACAAATGAACTCACCTTTTCTGACATACACCGAAAGATAGTTACCTATGAGAAATGGCACACAGCAAAATAATATACAAGTCCCAAGCACTATCAAGTCAAAACATGTAGCACTTACCACATTATACAGACCAATACACCATCGCTCAAATAAGATCTGCCCAGAAAATCCATTAACGAAAGCAAACCAAAGCTGAAACAAAGACAAGTTACAAGAATCTTTAGATTACTATTGCAGTACATGTTTTTATTTACAGTGGAGAAGGAGGATGTGGAACACAGACCACTGTGTGGAGACAGCAGCTTGTCACGCTCTAAAAATAATTCTCAGCAGTGCCAGGCAGCTATTCTCTTCTGAAGTTTTACATTTTTAAATACTGCCAGAGTACTGCTTATTTAAAATAAAATAGGTGATGGAGAAATTTGCTGTATTTGCATCATTACTATAAAAAAAAAAAAATGGCCTCAACCTATTTCAAAATGCCTATTCCCAACAAATTAACATGCCTGAAGCCAGAAGTCAGCTGATTTTTTCCATCATGGTCAGCAAGCACCAGAATTTTCAAGGTAAGTGTGTTTTGATGGATGCTCTGTCCTGTTTTTACAGTCTTAGAAATACAGTGATACCAAATTGTTACATGATCATATTTACATTACAATTTTATTGTCTACATGTTGTGAACAAACTATGTATTTAATAATTAAACAGTAAAAGAGGATGCTCAAAGAGACTGTGGAGTCTCCACTCTTTTACAAGTTTACAAACTTATAAGCAAGCCCTTGAACAACCTGGTTTGAATTTCGTGTTCATCCTACTTTAAGCAAGAGGTTGAACTTGATGGCCTCCAAGTTGCTTTCCAACCAAGGGGACTCTGTAACACTGCAATCTCGGAAAACTGCTGTAAGATGCAGTGCATAAACAAACTCTTCAGCATTTCCTTAGACCTACCTTCCTTGAGCCTACTTCTTAACTTGTTTAAGCGGCTTTTGGAAGCAAGAACTGCTTTACTAGGTTGGAACAAAGTTGCTTACTCAGTGGACACTGAAAGAATCTTAGGAAAAAATATAAGAAGGGAAATAATTATCTTTTCCCAAGTAAATTGGAAACTGGAAGATTAATCAGCAGTTAAAGGGCATTCTGAAACAGTTTGCATGTGAATCATAATGAAGATTGATGTGAATTAGGGGCTGTACTACCTTTTAAAATCCATGCTGCACCATGGTACTTGGTTCAAAATTCATTCAACATTGTGTGTGGGAATGCTTGCCCTCTCCACTCTCTTTCAACAGGTTTTGTCTTGCATTTATTTTACCAGTTCACATTGCACTGGATGCACTAAGTATTGCAGAGCAGTCCAGTGATGCTCACGCCTGTTCCCTTCTGAGGAACAGGCCTCTCACGCCTGAGAGCCCATGGCACTCACAGCCAGGCATCTTTTCTGACACCATTCTGTCACTCATATATAGCAGCACTCTCCTATTGGCATCATTTATTCCTTGGCTCACTTGCTCAGTATTAGTGTCCTAGCAAAGCACCTCAGACAACAATTAGTTAACTCTATGTCGTATGTCTCCTCTGCTCCCACCCAAAAGGGATATAGACTAATCTGAAAAGACAACAAGAGAGTACAACAAGACTGCATCAAGACCTACAACTGCTCTCACAGATGCAATATCTGAACAGACTAGGAGTCTTCAGCATGGGACAGATGCAATTTAAGGGAAGATGAAAATATTTACAAGATGGGCAAGAGTAACAAATAGCTGTTCAAACAGGTACTGCTGCAAGACATTAGATTAGCAGGCTACACAGAAAAAGTGAAATGTTTTTACACAATACATGGTTGATCTATGGAACTGCCTGCCAGATGATGCTGTAGATGCAAAAAGCAATTAGAAAAAAAAACAATGGAAGGAAAGCTGGAGGCCAGATGAGTTTGCCAGAGAACTACCACTGTTCACAGAACAACAGAGACCAGGTTAGTTGAACTCTTATTCTGACCCTCTACAGCTATTCTTACATCTATAATTTTAAACAAGAATGGTGATATAGATGATCATTCCAATGCACTCTCACTGTTCAAGTGAGAAGCAATGACACTGATCTCAACTCACTTGCTTATAGATACACCTTAAAGAGTAGGCCAGCTATTTAAACTTATTTCCTATGATTTTTTTAAACATTCAGCTGCTCTTTCTAGTAGGGAATTTCTGTTTCACCCTATATTATTCTGAAGTTTGCACTCTTCTATACCTGCTGCCCTTCTTGCAAGCTTGTAGTTTAGAAGTGCCTTTGTAAACCTTCATAATAGCCAACAGTTTAATTTCATTTCCATTTAGCTGAAATGTATCAACCTAGTATAGACTACAATATACTTCTCTGGGTTCCTAAAAAAATTCCTCTTTCTTTCACATTGTCAATCATGCATTAATTTAACCGAAATAAGCATTTAAGTGTTCACTTGTCCAGCTCTGTCCGAATAAAGGGCAGAAGGAAGACACATTCTACATTGCAACTTCTGCCCTCACTTCTACTTTTTTGATACTTTGAATAACTGTGCTCTAAATCTCACTCTAGAGACTCAATTAATGGCCCAAAGTAGCATACTGGCCAATCTCACTCTCACACTTCTGAGTGTTACAATCATATGTATACCTCAGCTCTTCAAATGAAGGGTATGATAGATACTGGGTGCAAAGCCTGAGGTCCCAAAAACCACAACAATTAATTTGGAGCTGTCAGGTAAGGAACTTGAGGGTTTCTTCTCCTAGAAAGAAACAGAGCTTTAAACAAGCATATTCCCATGTATTTAGCAATGGCCATCTAGGCATTTATCATCTCCAGGCTTCTTGCAATTAACTGCAACTATGAATGAGGGCAGCAATCCTAGAAAACATAAATAGCTCACAAATCAGAAACTTGTCTGCCTAGCTGGCAACCTCAGCCTGTGCTCTGCTCAGTTTTCTAGATCCCACTGGGCAAAGCAAACTTCAAAGGTTTGGTAGCAAATGTTGAGGCCTTTTATGACATTGGCTCATGCTACTTAGGAAATCATTGCTTTCTGAAACCATAGCTGCCCACAACTAGTCCTCCAGCAACAGACATTTCTGATTTTCCATTAAGAGGGTAAAACATAGCAGTCAGGCTTTGTGTAGCTGGCCCATAGCTAAAAGAAGAGCCCCAAACCAGGTAAACCTAACATCTTAAGATTCACATTTCCCAACAAAAATATTAGTAGTAATGAAGATACAATCATATAAAACTTGGAAAAAGCAAAGTTCTTAAGGTGCCTTACAAAGCAGCAGACTGTCAAAGTGGAAAATACCCGTTCAGCAACACAAATCCTTCTACTCAAAGTTCCTAGCACAACTGGGTGATGCAGAATTCATTGAAGACCCTGCTAAAATCACCTTGAGATCAGTCAATTACTATAGGAGAATATGGAGATGGATGTGTCTGACTGCAGTAAATAGGTATCTGTATTTCACTATCTTTAGTCTTCTGCAGTGTGTTTCAACATAGAAAGACTTTTCTACAGAAAAGTTATCTCATTATTTCAAGGCTGCTATGACTTAGATGGGCAAGAACTAACATTCTGAAAGTTCAATGTTCTGGTATTTCAAAAGCCAAATTGGAACTATTTTTCTTTTGGCAGGATTCACATAGGTGAAAATTAGAACTGAGAATATTCCCAATGCTTATGCAAGTCTGTGTGTACCACGTGCTCCAAACAGAGGGCAAAAGTTACGACACAATGAAAACTAATGGCTATGCTTGCCTTTTCCAGAGATTCACATTATCAAATGCCAATTGACAGAGAGAATGTCGTATACTGCTTCAATATCTTAATGTCAAGAGTAAATCAGATACTCTGCATAAAATACAGATTTATTTAGAATTTAACACAAGCCTTAAATTGCCACGCATGGTTTACAGACCAGCTGTTTGTAGAGAGAATATGGTATTGTTTAAAGTCAAAGAAAAAAAACAACCAAACCAAACAAACAAACAACACCAAAAAAACCCCTCCACCTCAACATTCCTGTTAACAAAAATACTAAATATACTTGAAGTTGCAACAATCCATGCTTGACTCAGACTTGGTAAGCTGGTAGGAAGACTTGCCAAGTCTGCCTGGCTTGCCAAGCTCCAGGGGTTTGCAGGGCTCAAGTCCAGTACTGCTCTGAACAAATGGACCCAAAGTTATTAAAGCACTTTTCTGGCTGGAAAAAAAGAAACCTTTTCACTATAACTGTTACCTGGCTGCCAAAAAGCTGGAAAAGCTTATTTGTAACTCAGCTACAAAATATATATGTTTCTCCAAAGGAACAAGAGGCCCAATTTAAATGTAAAGAAATTCAGACCTAAGGCTGAAATCTGGGTTGATATATTGCTGTGCTTTATTATAGCAGATATTGCAAAGATCTGAAACCAGTAGGTATTGTGCGCAGAGAGAAGTGGAACATCTTGCAAACTGAAAACTAGCCCATGTTTCCTGACTTGAAGTGTGGCTGCATTCTTTAAATAAGAAACCCCACTGCTGAAGCACTTGATGCCAGCTGTGATGTGGGCGCTTTGCCACTAGAAGGGTGGGAGGGAGTGGAAATCAGACTGCTGCCTCCTTCTAGAGGTCAACAAAAGCCAACAGATGGTAATACTTGGTTAATATGAACTTGAGCTGCAGGCAAACTGAGGATCTTGAGGTAAAACAGTCCTGCACTGCTGTTTTGAGCCACACAGCCTCTCCACCTGCTCTAGAATATGTTTTGAGAAAAGATCAAGTATTATGTTCAAAAAATATTCCCACTTGAGCAAGTTAGAAGGCAATTTTAATTGCATTATTGCTTCATGCATAATTACCACAGCATTAATGCCTGAAATAGTAGGAACTAATTTATTTAAGTGCTCTAAGGCACTGGGATAGCAAATCATCTATTCTAAACGTGTATATTTATGAAGTCTTGATAACAGACAACTTAACAAGTACTAGAAATATTTTCCCAATTCTGCTAAAGGGCACAGAAAGCTAATGTAGTCAGGGTATCAACAATTGCCACAGGCACCAATTACAGCCAGGCTGGATGCCTTTACTATTCAGAAATGAGTTAAATTCTCAAAATACCCTTTCTCAGCACACACACACATTTTGCATGTTTTTACCAGATAGGCTCATTTACAGTTTGCCTAATAAA